ATATCAGCATAGCTATTCAAGTAGCAAATATTTTTACTGTTTGCTTATTTAATATTTTAGCACAAAAATGGGTTTTTGAATTGAAAATGTTTCTTTTGTCGATGTCTGGGTGTTTGGTTAAAATGTGATTACTTGTTAAAACGACCCAGGCTCTCGTCTGCTCAACGCGCCCCAGTGTTGTTTTCCCAAACAGTCTCATGGAGCTGAGAAACATGGCCGACCTCACGCTGTTTGCAGGTTGTTTCGCGAGCGGCTGAACCAGGTGAAGGTGAAGCTGGACGAGGTTTTGACCGGGAAGGCTGGAGAATACAGAGAGCCGCTGGCTGCTCTGCAGAACAGCATGCAGATACGAACACAAGTGGCCGGTAAATCAAACCTCCATCATGACGACAAACAAGGACTGATAACTTTATCCTCCCTTAAACTGGATTATTGTCGTATTGGATTATTGTGTGTCTTATAGATGCAGTTCAAAATAGATAACACAAAGAGGCCAATGCACTGAACTCCATAGAAAAACCTCCTGGTTATTCCACCAAAAACTGATTTCTAAATTCTTCCTGAGTTAAAACATCAATATTGTTGTTTCTGAATGAATATGAACTTGTTTTCTTTGCTTTATTTGAGCATCTTTTTTTGTTATTTTGACCATTTCTCATTTATTGCAAATAAATGCTCAATTTTTGCTTGGAATTTCAGAGACGTGTTGTCAGTAGTTCATAGAATAAAAGAACGTTAATTTTACTCAAACATTTACAGTAAAATCAGAGAAACTGATCATTTTAGGTGATCTCTTAAGTTTTTTGGTTTTTCCTTATAGTTTAGTTTGGGACTTTTTGTTTATCTAATTCAGATTTAATCAATTTTTAGCATGTTTGATGCTTTTTATTATTGGTTAAATCTAGTTCAGTTTTAGTTTAGCTTTTGTTACTTATAGTGGTAGTTTTATTATTTTTATATTTTTGGCCGATTTTTAAGTGCAGAATTCAAAAAGGTGAAAGTATTGTCATTATGTAAACTTAATTGATGTATAGAAAACAATGTTACAAAGACACCATTTTCAAAAAATGTCTTCAATTACTGTAATTTGCAGACAGCTGACGTAAAATCAGGCCGAAAGGCTAATAAATGGATCACAAGATGAAGGTTTTTACAGCTATAATTCTAGTACGTTTTCGTCAGTTACAGGTTTCTCCTATTAATTACCGTTTCTATTTATTTTGGTTAAAAACTTGTTGTTTCATTGGCTTTAGTTAACTATAATAACTTGCATCAAAGCTTCTTGATGCAAGTTATTCTAGAACCGACCCAAATTAAAATGCGGGACAAACATATAAATTCCAGCATTTCTAAACCAAAGCGATCCAGCTCTCATGCCTCTCATGCGCCTCTCTGGTTTGTTCTGCAGGAGTTTACAGGGAGCTGTGTCTGCAGGTGATCAAACACAAGCACGACTGTGAAATCCAGGGGGCGAAGCAACACCTGGAGGTGAGTCAAAGCCACCACAAACACTCAATCCAGCTAAATTCAACTCTGGAGCTGCATTAAAAACATCATTTTTGATGCATATCTATCTGTTGTTATGAGTTTTAAAACACAGAACGATGCAACATCTTTGCAGTTAAGTGGGTGCATGCAAATATTGGTGGAAAATACTATAAAATAAAAGTCCTTTAAGGTTTATACATTTATACCTAATGTGAAAATTGCAATTTTCTATTGTGATTTTGAAAAAGCAGCACAAAGCCTCCAACCTAATTACAGAACAAATACCTCAGAAAATTACAAGTTGCTTTTCTGATTTTATTTGTACTTTTTATGGAGTAATTGCACTAAATATCTACAAAAGAATGACTCAAAATTAAATTACACGTTTTTGAATTTTGAGTCATTTTTTGTCGATATTTAGTGCAATTATTCCATTTAAAAAACCAGGAAACGTTTTCTAGAACATGTTTTTATGAAAAAGTAGGTAAAGATTGTATTTGTCTTCCACATCTTAATCTCGAAGTGTCAAATCTAAAAAGTGTGGTGGGCATTCAGCTTCTTTTAATCCGACACCCCTAAATAAAATCCAGTTGCGTTTCAAGCTCATCTAATAAGTACAGGAGGTTGTCTGGGTGCAAATGATCAGAACGATTGATCTTGCTTCCTTGGATCAATCCAAATGACGTCGCCACCTGGTGGTTTAGTCATTCAGAGTCTGACAGAGCTGAGTGGTGTCTGCCTGTCTGTCTCTCTCTGTCTGTCTCTCTGTCTCTGTCTGTGTGTGTCTCTCTCTCTGTCTGTCTCTATCTCTGTTTGTGTGTCTCTGTCTGTCTGTCTGTCTCTCTCTGTCTCTGTCTGTCTCTCTCTCTGTCTGTCTCTCTGTCTCTGTCTGTGTGTCTCTCTCTGTCTCTGTCTGTCTCTCTCTCTGTCTGTCTCTTCTGTCTCTGTCTGTCTGTCTCTGTCTGTCTCTCTCTCTGTCTGTGTCTCTGTCTGTGTCTCTCTTCTCTGTCTGTCTCTCTCTCTGTCTGTCTCTCTGTCTCTCTCTCTGTCTGTCTGTCCATCTCTATCTCTGTTTGTGTGTCTCTGTCTGTCTGTCTCTCTCTCTGTCTGTCTCTCTCTCTGTCTGTCTGTCCATCTCTATCTCTGTTTGTGTCTCTGTCTGTCTGTCTGTCTCTCTCTGTCTCTCTGTCTCTCTCTCTGTCTGTCTGTCCATCTCTATCTCTGTTTGTGTGTCTCTGTCTGTCTGTCTGTCTGTCTGTCTCTCTCTCTGTCTCTGTCTGTCTCTCTCTCTGTCTCTGTCTGTCTCTCTCTGTCTCTGTCCGTCTGTCTCTCTCTCTGTCTCTGTCTGACCCGTCTGGACCTTAAAGTCTCCAGGTGACTAAAGGTTTGATGGTCTCTGTGCTGCAGAGCGAGCGCTCCCTGCTGTTTGACGCCATGAAGGCGGAGCTTCTGGAAAAGATTCGCAGACTGGAGGAGGACAGGCAGAACATAGACCTCACCTCAGGTAAACTATGGAAACGATGGCGCCCGCTTCCTGGAATCAGAGTTTCCTGTTTGGGTTCAGTTTCCTGTTTGGGTTCAGTATTTTACATGTTTGGGACAAATTTCCATCCTTCTTTCCTTCCTTGTGCCCTTACATCTTTAATCTATTTTCTTTTTCTTTGTCCTTTCTTAGTTCCTTAATGCATCCTTCCTTCTGTGTGTCCTTCTTTCCTTACTTATTTCCTTTTATGGATCCTTTTTATGTATCCTTCCCTTGAGTCTCTGTTTTCCTGCTTTATCTAATCTTTCCTTTCTTTTAGTTCTCATTTTGTTTTGATTTTCTACCTTCCTCCTTACTTTCACCATCATGTTCTCCTTTCTTCCATCCTTCGTCCTTTGTTCCTACCTTCCTTCTTTACTTCCTTCTGCTCTTATACCTTCCTTCCATTTCTTGTGCCTTTCCTTTCTTTTCTTATATCACTTTCTTCCTTCCTTTTATCCTTATTTACCTTCCTTCCACACTTCCTTCTGTTTCCTTTACATCCTGCTTCCCTTATCCTTTTTTCCCTTGTATTTTTATGCCTTCTTTCTGTCCTTCCTTCCACATTTCTTTCCTTTCATACTTCCATCCTTCCTTCCCTGTCTTGTGCTTTCCCCTCCTTTCACCCTTTTGTTTCTATATTGTTCCTCCTTCCTTTCTTCATGAATTTCTTCTTTCGATCTCTCGTTTCCACCTTTCCGTTCTCACATTGTTCTTCCTTCCTTTTGACTGAAACAGAAAAATGTTCAGAACTTTGTTGGTTTCTAATGAACGTCAGACGAGTTTTTGTTTCTGCTGCAGAGTGGAGTGATGAGATGAGAGGAAAGAAATGCAAAAGGAAGAACCTGCTCGGCCGCTCAGACAGGAAGAAGAAAGTGTCTCTAGTTTCAGGTGAGAAAAGCGAATCTTAGCGACCCTCCAGTGGACGAACACGTTCGGGTCGGGTTAAAGCTCCGGTTTGGTGTTTCAGGGCCGTTTATCGTCTACATGTTGAGAGACATCGACATCCTGGAAGACTGGACCGCCATCAAAAAGGTCAGGAATCCACTTTCTCTACTTCTTTATCTTAATCACTTTTAATCACAAAATGAGTGACAATGAAAGGGTTTGAATATTTACGCAAGATGGTTTTTATCACAAGACGGAAACTTTTAACTGATTTTAATATCTGGAATCGATTGTAATGATTTATGATGAAATTTGAAGTTTTTTTTTATTATTGTTTTTGTAAATTGCCTTGAGACTTTTGATATGAATTGGTGCAACATGAATAAACTGAATTTAATTTAATTAAAGCTGATCAGAAATAGGACAAAACCTGAAAACTGTTGACATTTTTTCGTATTAATTCATGAAATATTGACCAGAGATCTTTAAAAGGCAAATTAAGATAAATTAATAGTTAGAACAGGATTTAGAAGCTGAATAATTCTAATGTAGCAGGAAAAAAGAGCTGGGATGTTGGATGTTGGCTCATATTCCAGTCATCCCCTGATCAATCGGTGCATCCATCGCAGTCGCTAATATGAAAGCCTCTCTGTGTCTTCCAGGCAAAAGCGGCGCTCTCCCCACTGAAAAAGAAAGTCGAGAGTAAGTTCACTTCAGCCGCACAAAAATCAGCCATTCTGCAAATGTTCATTTCCGTTTCCTGTGATGTCTTCCAGAGCGGTGATGACGTGGAGAGCCGAGCTGCAGACACCAAACCCAACCCAGGCTCTCACATTCCCAGTTTCTGTCTGAAACACAGCAGCTCACTCTGCTCCGCTGTTTTTGTTCAGTTTGTGACCCCCGACCCGACTGCTTGTTTGTTATCTGTTGCTATTTAAGATGCGTTCTTAATGAAATGACAACCATGTATTTATAGAATGATTTATAATGCTGATTAAAATTTTAATCTTTTATAACACAGGCCTTTTGCTGTTTGTTTGAGAGGGAAAAAAAATAAAACTTATCAAAACGAGACAAAGAGATTGACAAAAACAAATCACGATCGGAGTCGTAAGAAGTTTATTTGACACAAAGAAATGCGACAAAGAAATCTGGGGTAATAATTTGGATATTTTTTGTCACAGTTCTTTCATTGCAAAACCGGAAAATTAGTTGGAATAATAATAATGACTAAGAAAAGTAAATAGAAGGATTTCTACAGCTGCATTTCCAATACAATTGTGCACGAAAACGTTGCCAATATTCTACTAATATTGAAAAAATGTAATTTCTCAATGGCGCAGTTTATATTAAATAACAAATGCAATTCAAATCACAGGTGAATGAGTTTGCTCACGCGATAAGTCATTAACTTTATTCTCCAGCTACTCTCTGTTTTCTTGATCATGTGAGATGAAAATGTTTCCGTTGCAGTTTTGTGAATTTTGATACGGCCAACAAATTGCTAGCAACAAAACGTTTTTCCTCATTATACAGTCAATGGAAATGCAGTGTACAACAAACAGTAGTGCTGTGATTGTTGAACTTTGGACCCTGTCAAAGGATCATGGGAACTATCTGACGCCGTCCAAACGTCCAGAACCTCCTCTGGTCTCTTCACAGCTGCTTGCTGAGTTTTCGGGCCTGCCGCTCCCTGGCCTCAAAGGCCGCTTTGGTGTCCAGCAGCTCATCCAGCTGCCGGCGGATCCGGGCCATGTCCAGCTGGGTGGCCTCGCACTGCTCCCTCAGGGCGGCCGACTCCACCCGCAGCTGCGTGGCGGCCATGGACAGCTGCTCGCTGCGCTCCCGGCACTGCTGCTGCATCCGCTTGGCGTCGCCCAGGAGCGACTCCACGCTCACCACCACCGAGTCGCACTGGGTGCTGGACGTCTCCTGCAGAGACGAGGGGACACAACTGGTGGGTGTGAACAGTAGGTCATTTACAGATGACCTACTGATGACCTTCATGTTTTAAGGGACTTAATCAAACTGTAGTTTGCTTGTCAAGAAAGTTGGGTTTGTTTGGGGAGGTGTGGCTGATCAACTGGACTACTCGGTTTGATTGAGAAACAAAGTTGCAACATTTTCAGCTGCTGTGGTTCAGTTTCACACTGGACTGAGTTAAATGAACCAAAGCCTCCAAGCAATCTGTACCCCGCCTCGCCTGTGGGGGCGCTGCTTCAAAAGCTGCTGAAGGAAACAACATAGTGTATGAAGAAGACACCAAGCGCAACTTCCTATTTTTTTTCCAAATGGTAAAGAAGGAAGTTGAGACATTTTGATACCACAAAATGGAGTGGTTTCAATTTCTACAGTTTCAGCGGTTGTAGGAATTTTCTGCCATGAGACATTTCTCCCTCTAGTACTTGAATGATGCATTTGTTTTGGTTGTATTTACCCAGAATGCCCCATGCTGTAGCATAACCTTAACCCAAATGCTGCTCCTGCTTTTGGAGTGGTTTTGATCCGCTTGGTGTTCACATGTGCTTTGTAACAAGACTAAAGTTCATTTCAACCAAACCAAGACTTTGGTTTTTAGGCGGACCAGAGTTAATTTTTTTCCGTCAGTTTGATTGAAAGCTCCCCAAACAAACTGGACAAATAAACTAGAGTTTAATTGAAATGGCTTATAAAGGACTGATATGAATGCACATGTGAATGAGACAATTTCCAAAGCAGGAAGTGACCTACAGCACAGCGCATTCTGTGTAAATACAACAAGAAACAAACGCACTACTCTATTGCCAGCTGGAGAACTGCCTCGTTTTCGTTTGCTAAAGACAAAAGGAAAATCCTACAACCACTAAAATCTGGTTCTGCTCCATTACGGTTTACAAGTCTCCTTCAGATGTTTGTCGGTTCCTCCAATGGTTCTTGGCACAGCGCCTCCACAGGTGAGGAGGATAAACGGGTCTCTCAAAGGGTTTGGTTCGTTTGACACAGTGCAGTACGAAAGCAAACCACACCAGCTGAAAATGTAACAGACGTTGCAACTTTGGTCCCCGATTGAACAGAGACCAATTGACAATCAGGTGTGAAATCACTGAAACTCAACATTTGATCTGTGGTGTGTGAAGGGGATTAGAGGTTTATCTTGGCTTATCTCAGTGCTTTGTTTGCCTTCTTCTGATCATCATCTCTTGATGTAATTTAACTGCTTATTTTTCTAACCGGCACTTCAGACAACTTCTCACCATCGATTCCAGGGTCAGATTGATCTCCAGTCTTCTGGTTTTCTCCCGAGACTCGGCTTCCTCGTCCTGGTCACTGTTCTCCAGTGTCTGATAGTCCCTGGATTTTCTTCACAGATTTACTTCCTGTACATCTAAGAAAGAAAAAAAAGCATATAACTCCAGAGATCCTTTCTTAAGGTTTGAGTTTTGCTGCTGCAGATCAGATGTTTTAAGTGTCCGTCCTGGCTGCCACCGGAGGCTTTTCTGCATGAGCGTCACTGTCTGCCTCAAAGTGAGGTCAGGTAATCCTCAGATAAAACCATTAGGGGAAGGAGAGGCTGAGGCACGTGTAAGCTCTCCTCCTGCTCTATTTTTATCTGCCTGGTTTATATTCAGGAGCTCACTAATCAATATATGCCGTAAAAAGATACATCACAACAGCTGCCTCAATAAAAACAGAACTGCAGGCAAAAAGGATGAGGATAATCTAAATAAGTTTGTTCAAACTGAGAAAATCTTCATGCAGACTCGATAAAATAATGTATTTTTCTGACTGCTGGAGACAGTGCAGGACTTACAAGGATGTGGAGCCAATTTTGGTTCCCAAGCTACAGAAAAATACTTTTAAAGCAAATTACAGTCCGATACATCTGTGGGTATGAACTGATACAAGGTGGGTTCAATATAATCCCATTAGCTTCATGTGGTTACCAAAACATGTACTATAACGCCATAATTATTAAATACATGTGTGTTTAAAACATTCCTGTTTCAGGTCAGTGAGGATTATCCACATTATTTTCTAGATGCCAGAAAACTGAAACAATCTTTATCACTTTCTCCTAATGTAGAAGTTTACATATAGTTCCTTAGTTTGCAGCATACAGCAGTCACTTAAAAGAAACGTGACTTCACAATTTAACAATTTATCTTAAAAACAACAAGCTTCATTCCAGTACAAATGTATTTACTATTGGCCAGCAGAGGGAGACATTTAGCAACATTTATTCTCAAATAAGGGCTTTTTTTTTTTTACAGATTTAACACAAAAACATCAAGTAATATCAATGCAAACATTCACATTTGAAGCTTCAGAGGTTATATTGATATTTAATACTTGATTTAGGTGAATAAAAATGTCTTAAGTTATCTCAGTGTTCCTGAACGTGGTTGAATTTATTTTTTTATTTTTTTTACAAAATTCAAGGTAAATACCATGAAAAACAAGTTGCAGCATTAAAGGTTTCACAATTTTTGGCTGAAAAACAAAGTTTTTTATTGAACAACTTAAAAAATACAAAAAAAAATAAACCTAAATTGGCTTTAGTTACATTCCTAAATCTTTGGATTACGATGCCAAAAGCACAAACTGTGATCACTTTCACTAAAGTACGCAGCTGATTACAGAAAAACCTGAATGTGGTATAAAATCAGAAACGTCTCCAGTTTTCCCAGCGGGTGTTACTGCGGCCGGTTGAAGAACGGCTCCGTCTCGGCGGCGGTCGCCCCCGGCTCGCCGAAGAGGGATCCGGCCGGCGTGGGGACGAGCTTCGCCCCCGAACTCTGGCGCTTCTGGACGATCACCAACGTCCCGATGATGATCCAGAAGAAGAAGTTGACCCAGACCGCTGTCTGAGGAGCAACGCGACACAAAAACAGGAACATAAACAATCAAAGCGCATCAAGCGTACTGAATGAACATGATTATCAGAACGCGGTGAGATCCATACCTCTGATTTGTGAAGGTTGGTGTAGATCCACGTTCCTTGAATTGGACTCGCCCAAATTTTTCTCTGAACTTCTTCACAACTTGAAGACAAAGAAAAACAAAATTCAGACACAAAGCTAAAGAAAATGTGGACGTCATCTTTTACAGAATGGTATGCAGTTTTATGATGGACCACATTATCGTTTCTGTTGCACTTGATTATATTTTGTGTTTGTTTTGAATGGATCCATTGTTGTTGTTTTACTTTGGTTGGTTGGTTATTTTATTGTTGTTGCTGTTATTCGTTCACAATTCTAGTTGTTTTGTAGAACAACAAATATTTTTGCTTGTTGCTGGTCTGTAATGTTTGTTCTGCATACACTAATTAAATAAAAAAATTATATGGAAAAAAACCTCATCTTTTAGAAATTATAAATCTTCTTGTCACAGGGTTTTTCTTTGACAATATTACAGATGCAAATGTTTGTTTGTATTTGATCTTCTGAATTAATTTTGCTTAGTCAAAACTTTGATCCTCTTGGCAGTTGGTGGTCATCATGGCCACCAGTAACTGAGAGCTAAAATAAAGCTGTATTAAAGATATATGAGTAAAGTCCTCATTAATCAGACATAGATACGTCTTTTAGAGACAAAGGAAAAGCAAAGTTTGGCTTTTTTGACAGCACCAGTTCAAATAAATTCAAAAGAAAACATCTCCCATATGATATTTAGAGAGAAAATCTGAAAAATAAAGATCCAGCTGCCTGTGAAAACTAAGAAATAAAAAGCTGAGAGGAGTTTAGTTTAGTTTGTATTTTCGTGTCTGAGCCCGTCTGGTTTCTGACCAGAGGAGAAAAAGGTGAGCGAGTGTCTGCAGCACCTTTTGACCCCGGTGACGGTTTTGAGGATGGAGTCGCAGAGCGAGTCGCGGCCGATCTTCAGCATGCAGCCGGTGATGAGCAGGAAGAAGAGAAAGACGCCGCTCACAAACACCATCACGTTCAGCCACATGCGCTCCCTGCAGGAAGGAGGATTCAGCTGAGCCTTGAACCACAGGGCAGATAAGACACACAGCAAACCTGCCACAATAATTACCAGAAGTTATTGACATAATATTGTTGTTTTGAGACCATTTTCAAGTAATGCAATATTAATGGCATAATAATGCAAGTACACATTCTCAACAGATTAACAAACTTTAAATCCTGATGAACATTGAACATGGAACTGGAAGATGTTTTGAATATCCAAAATAAATAAACGAAAACAGAAAACAAGCAATATGAATTATGAAGTCTCTGTAAACATAATTTCAAATAAAGGGCCGGCTGAAACTAGGAATGCACCAATCGCAGTTTTCTGGCCGATCTGTAAAAGTCTGATCGGCCTACTCCGATTCTGGCCAATACCAATTTATTTTTGTCTGAAATGTTGCTAAATATAGCAAGAAAGTTGCCGCCATCTTTTATTCTGTACTTTGTTCTTCATCATTTAAGGAATTATTGACTTGAAACAAGCTCCCATATCTTGCTGAAAAGTAACTTGTAAATAGTTTTGTCTTATTTCCAGGGTGTTAAGATATTTGCACTTTGTTTGCAAAGACTTCATAATGCATTGATTTGTTGATCATTTAAAATGTCTCCCAGTTTCAGTGTTAAATGTTTGTCAGAAATTAAAGTTTATTGCTTTTGACAATAATTTCTTGTATATTTCTTGACATTTTCTCAAAACAATATCATTGTTTATCACAATAACGTCTGGGACAATTTATTGTCCAGAAAATGTTATTGTTGCAGGTTTGTCGTTCCTTTAGTGGCAGAAAGTTCCAGAAATGTTATAATCCAAGAAAGAAAAATTGAGCCTGGAGTCGCCCAAAACTAATGTTTTCCAGATTTATCTAAATGCAGCATATCAATCTGTTTCACTTGGAATAAATCATTAAAAAAAATAAACCTTTCAGACAGTTTTTATAAAAATTAGGTCACCAATTGCTTTCCAGTTCCTGGAGCTTAAAAGAATAACAACAGGTTAGCTTGTTTTGCTTCAAGTGTCACTCCTCTGGTTTGGGAGGTGATTAAAATCTGAAAAATGGCAGGACAGGACATGTTCTGCCATGTCTCGTCACAAGGACGGACTCTCGTCACCTTCTCATTTCTCCCTCCATGCAGAAAGCGTACACCCAGTACACAGACAGGGAGAAACACACCACCGCCACCATGATGGAAATGGCCGACACAAAGTAGCACAGCGAGGCAGACGTGGAAGCCTGGACTGCGATGGCGTCTCCTGTCGCATTATAGCTGACGCGTCCATACAGCATGCACAGACCGCCGAAGTTACCCTGAGAGAAAGACGGGTTTGAGATCGCAGAGCAAATCCAAAATGTTCACAAGAATATAAGTCTGCAAAGCAGACATAAGGAACAGAGGTATAAGCCTGGCGGGCCACCTGGCTTTACTTGCACCCCTACCAGGCTAAGCTTTGCTTGTTTTATTTATTTTAGGGTTTACAAGACTTTTTAGCTGTTTAAGTATTATTCATAATGTCTTCCAACAGCACATAATTACCTAGTAATATTTTAAAATTACCTCTCAACTTGAAACATTTTTTAACTCAAACACAGTGAAAGTTGCTGGATGATTGCCCTACCGCCAGGCTTAGATAGTTTCATGTGGGAAACCCTGAAGGAAGAGCAATTAATCACATAACAAATTAAAAGGAGCTTGATCATTTTCACTGAGATACAAATTTTTTAAGGTCAATTTTGTTTACAGACTTTATTAACTATTCTATTTATCGTTTCAGATGTGTGTGATTTTTTATATATATATATATTTTTTTATCTCTGGTGACCATATTATTTATTGTTTTCAACGTGTTTAAAACATCCTCCAATTACAGTGCTGCATTCTTTACTAAATTAAAGCTACTAAAATCTCATATCACGGGTTCTCTGACAAGATTTCTTTTTTAAAACAAATGAATAAATTATTTTCTCTGATTTCTACATTTGGCACCTCCAGAGCTCCATACAGGAGAGAGAGGATGGGCGCGACTAGCGACTCGATCACAAGACTCGCTTATTACTGCCGCACATGTTCACATTTCCTCCAACATTTCTAACCAAACAGATAAAACCGAACATTTAAAACCCTGATCAGCCGTGGCAAACGTGTGTTTTCCTGATTCTTACATTAGATTTTTTTTCCGCTGGACATTTAATATGAAATATTCCTTTATAATAGTTATAAATAAAACCGCTGATACGCTTTAAAAGCTGGGAATCAGAATAAAGTTAAAGTTCAGTGTTGTGACACCAAGGATAAAGTGCACGACGCTGTGGGAGGGATTTACGTGTCAAAACTTTAAGCATTTGTGGGGGAAACAAAGTTGACCAGTTGCTACGGTAGTAGATAAAGGTAGCGTTTAGTTTCAGCAAGACTTTCTCTCTTGGTTCCGTGTTTTCTAAACTTTTTAGCAACCGGAGAGGCGAGTTCCCCCGGAAGAGAGCGCGCGGCGGCCCGGCGGAAGCCCCGGCGAAAGCTCCGGGGTTTCCGCCGGGAATCTCACCTGGACGATGGTGAGGGAGGCGGCGGCCACGATCCCACAGACGAAGCAGCAGGCGTACAGGCTCAGCTCCAGCACCATCAGCACCGACACCGCCATCATCCAGCCAGCCGCCCGCTTCTGGACAGGGACCAACCGCCAGGCAGCCGCGAGGAGCAGACACCGCTTCCGGGAAGGAGTTTCAAAATAAAGCTTAATTCTACAGGTAAAACACTTTCAGGAATATTTTATACGACAATGAATTAGTGCTGTTGTAGATGGAATGAAATGCATAGTGAGTTTCCGCCAAAAAACTCTGACAGTTTTACATCATATGCTTTCTAGAAAAAAGCTTAAAATGTGTTAGAAAAATCAGATTTTTTGAGATAAAGAGTTTGGACATTTCTGAGTTTGACAATTTGAAAATCTGTTCAAATAAACTCTAAAATTTGGAGATAACACAAATCTGCTGGGGGGAAAAAATCTGAAATTTTGAGATCAATATCAGAAATTTTCTAGAAAAAACATAGACATTTCTGAGTTTGAAAAGTCAAAAAAATTCTAGAAAAAAAACATACATTTCAAGATTCCTCTAAAAATTTGAAAATTTTTTAGAAAATTTTTGACTCAGACATTTAGTTGTATGGAGAGCCAATTCAGCCAAAATTTAATAAATAAATATAAGCACACAAGATATGTCTGGTCTACTTTTCCAGTGCAAATATCTTAGTACATTTGACATAAGACAAAAATTACAAGTAGCTTTTAAGCAAGACATATGACCTTGTTTTCAGTAAGCAATTTCTCACTTCAAATTAAAAAAAATATTCTACTGGCAGATTATTTAATTTATAACATAAGAAAAATGTCTTGCTTTAAATGAATCCACCAGTGGCACTACTGTTTTTTTAATCAATATTAAGCTACCATAACCATCAGAAAAGTTACTTTAAAGTTAGTTTTCTTAGATATTTGCATTTGGGACTAGACCAAAAATTCTTGGTAATGTTTTGTATTTTTGGAAAACCCATACAAACAAAGCATAGATTCAATGAAGCCAAGTTTGCCCACTCACCTGTTTGTCAGGGCGTGCAGAGCTTTTATTTTGAAGGTAAAAGCGGTGAATATCCGGTGTCGCTCGCTGGCTTTGACCCTCCAGTCTTCAGGCTCCTTGCTTTCATATGATGTCAAGTTTCATCCCTTCAGTCTGCACAGCCCCACATAAGGTCACACTGCACAGGTAATTCATTTAGGCACTTCCTGACCAAAGCGAGCAAATCTATTTTCACCGCATAACCCACTGACTCCAGCTGGGAGGTTTGACCTCCAGAAGAGACGGGGGTCACTGGGAGCTGGACTGGCTTTAAGGTTCGGTATGACAAAAGCAGAGTCAGGCGATCAGAGTTTGTCATAAGTTTGACCGTTTGAGGATCCACAGGCGTGACATGGCAGTTAGACGTGGCTGCAGATGACTGAAAGTGGAGCCTTTTCTCCCCTGCAAAACTTAATCAAACCTTGTGACTTCTGTCATCTGACCGGGTCATTTTCTCCATGACACAACTTTAAATCAGCTAGTGGACCAGAAAGTTTCTCATTCATTCATTACACTGCAAAGACACAAACTCTAAGAGAGAGGGTTTTTTTTGTGTGTAGTTTCTAGTGCAAATAAGAGATTATTTCAGATATAGGAGCTTATTTTAAGAAAATAATTCCTTAATATTGATGAAAAAGTACTAGTTCCACTATTAAGACATTATTTACTTAAATAAGACTCCTATATCTTTCTGAAAAGTTAATTGTAAGTTACTTTTGTCTTATTTCAGGTCATTAAAATTCTTGCTCTTTAAACTAAACAACTAAACTGTAGTTTTATTAGGCTTCAGTACTTGGTTTTTATTTCTACATGTTCTTTAATACCTTTTTTTTTATCTGCAATTCAAAGACAATATAGACTCTACTGAAAATAAAACATTTTAAATCATCCATCTCCACCAAATACGGGAGAAATTAAAGGAAAGTAATGGAAAACTCAAAGGTTTGATGGTGAATAAACAACTAAATGAGAAATATTTGTTCACCCTACAGACAGAAAAATATTTGACTAAAAAAACTTACATTCTCAAATGTATTAAATTTAGATCTTAGCTTTCGAATAAATAAATATTGTAAGATATTATAAAGGATTCACACTGAAAGCATAAGCTGTTCTGGTATTAGTGGTAGATATGCTTTAAGAATCAAGAGAAAAAATTTATTTTGCTTTTGAATGCAATCCATTTTTAATACATTGTTGTGAAAAAGCTACGTATTAATAGATTTATTCAGTTTTGTTTTCTGTGGAAAAACTGACCTTTGGCACATTGGCAAGTTTTCTGTCAATTTGGTGAAAATCACTCTTCCATCCCTACTTATTGTCAGCATTGCATCTTTTCAACAAGTGAATACATGTATTGTCTTTGAGCCAAAGGATGAATCCTTAAATTTGGAAAACGTTTGCCCTTGTGTGGCGTTCCCTCTGAATGAGAATCAGCTGCTCCATCACAAGGGTCAAGGCAGCTGATTTAACTTAACAAGTTGAGCAAAATGTTTTGGATTTATTGGACAATAATTATAAAATGCTGTTTATAATTACTGTAAATTATAATTACTGTCACACCCGGAAGAGATGTGTAAAAGAGAAATTACTTACCTTTGAAGAACATCTCTGTACATTCAGCAGAGTCCTCTCGGCTCTGTGGGAGTTCACCCAACCGCTCTACGTGTTTCTGGACTCTGAAAAGGTGTGAGGAAGTCTTGGTGAGGTTAATTCAAGTGAATGGGGTACCAGAAGTGTAGATAGAGGCTGTTAAGATCCTGTATGACCAATGCCTGACTGTGGTTTGCCAGCAGCAAGTTGGACTTGTTTCTGGTGAGAGTTGGATGTCGCCAAGGTTCCCTTTTGTCACAGATTCTGTTCAGAACCTTTATATACGAACTTTCCATGTTGTTGGGGGTAATTCAGGTGAATGGGGTACCAGAAGTGTAGACAGGGGCTGTTAGGATCCTATATAACCAATCTCAGAGACTGGTTTGCAGTGCCAGCAATTAATCGGACTTATTTCTGATGAGAGTTGGACATCGCCAAAGTTCCCCTTTGTATTCACAACCTTTTAGGTCAGACTTTCTAAGCACAGCCAAAGTGTTGGGGGATCCCTTCTGACGGCCAGAGGATTGGGTTTCTGCTTTCTGCAGATGATGTCGCCCTATTGGCTTCTTCAGGTCATGATCTATATCTTGGCTGGGATGAGGATTAATGCCTCCAAATCTGAGACCAGACCACAGTCTGGAGCTGGAAATGTAGGGAGCCTTTTTCCTGGTTGGATGGAGGGACTTTAGTGTCTTGGAGTCTCATTCACTAATAGAATAACACAGCAGGAGGCTGATTGGTGAAAGCTGATTGGTCAACTTGATTGATTGGTTGATCTACCTTCATATCCTCATCTTTGCCCACAAGCTTCAGGTCATGACCAAAAGAACGAGATTATGGATACAAGCAACTGGAATGAGGATCAGAACCTCTAAATCTGAAGCCATTGTCTTGAGCCAGAAAAGGGAAGCGAATCTTCTCCAAATATCTCGGGTTCTTGCTCAAGGGAAGAATGGAGCAGGAGATTGATAGATGGATTGGTGCAGGGTCTGAAGAGATGTGAGAAAAATATCCTTCATTCCCAATGTTGGGTACGGTGGAGGATCCTTGATGCTGCGGGTGTGTTTTAATGATTTCTACACATCAAGGTGTTCATGTTGCACATAGATAAACACATTTCATGATAGGAGGTTGGTATTACTTTAATTAGCTGATAAGACGTAAAATTCATTGAAGTCTGAATGAGGCACAGATCTACAGCAAAGACTGCAGCACATTCTGTACAATGCAACGGAAAAAGATAAAAAATAAAAATTACACATCTGGGAAACACGCACTTGAATTCACATCACATATAACTACACCAACAAAAGCTATTTTGTTTTCCAAATCAAACAAACAATCACAACATATAAGTTTTAAAGTATAGAACAAAAGTTCAGATATTGTAACTTATTTAGTTCAGCTTCACGTTCAAAAAATATAAAATATTTCAGGAGTACGTAAGAGAAACACCAAAAACATCGATATACAGCTATGTCAACTTCAATATGTCCAAACAGATGTTCATGTTAAGTACATTTTTTATTTATCATGCACAAAAGCTGTACAATAGTTACACTCTGAGCAAAGACACTTTGTAGGATAATTAATAAATTTCTAGACTCTCATAAATAATCAAAGATTTTGTCCAGCATCATAAAGAACTACTGTCTCTGAGGATTAAAAGCTGCTTCAGATGGAGGGAAATTAGAAAAACGGATTCTGATGGAAAATTAACTGATGTTTTTCCCACTGGATAGTGAATAATGGATTCACAGGAATTTGACATGTTTTGTTAATAAATGTTTATCTTTGAGCTGCAGGAAATCAAAGTTAATCTTTTAAAAGAACCAGCCAGGATATTCCCCGCTAAAGTATTTTCACATTTTCTAACCTTGAAGCCAGAAATTTCACTGCATTTTGTTGAAATTGTTTGTGACGACACAAAGTCGTGCATAATTGTGAAGTTGAAGAAATCTGTTATTTCATTTGTGCTTATAAATGAAAGTATCTTTGACACCTCTTGCTAAAATTCAGGTCAACCAAACATCTCATTTATGGAAGATCAAACTCTGGTCAAATGAGAAAATATTAAACTTTTATCAGTGCTGTGGGTGTTTGAACTCTTACACTTGATGTGCTGAAATGGCTGAACATGGTGGCTCTCCATTTTTGCTGAAACTGAAACTGTATTTATGTATTGTTTGCATGTATTTATGCAAACAATTTGTGATGCTGAGAGTCTGCAACGGCAGAGCCTTTAAGTCAAGGGTGTCCAAAGTTTTTGTCAACTGGCCCAAAATGTTAAATTAAATGTAATCAGTAAGGAAGATTTTAAAAAAATTAAAATAAAGCAAATTTGTTTGTTATTTGTAGAATTATACAACAAATGATGTACAAATGGTTTTGCACATTTGCAACTCAAATGGGCTCAAATGAACAAATTTATTCTCAGCTAAAAAACAGGATTTGGGCACTTTGTGCTATTTTTAGCCACATTTAATAAATTAAATTAAAGTTGATTTAGGTGCAACAAATTTGGCTTTTCAGTAAAAGTCACTGGATGAAGATGGCTCAATGTGGTAAAAACGCCGGATTATAAAAAGACAAGCTGTGTGTCATACTTTACTTTTTCTAAAATGCAAATTAAATATTTTCTTCTGCTAGAATAATTGACTTTTATATGCAAAGTTTAACCACTTTTCCAGAATTTAACTACATCCTCTGTAAAATGGTGCAATTGCAAAATCACATTTCGGTTTGATTTTGATGACATAACAAGCTAAAAACTCTTTGCCAAAACGATGGTAATGATTTATAAAAACTTTGAGAACTGCTTGTTTGACTCAAGTGGGCTGAATACAAATGTATATCTGACTTTTTTTTGTAAAAACAAATGTGGAAAACCATCTCATTTGACTTCACAGTTGGGCACTATTTTCTGTCGATGTCACATAAAATCCCAATGAAGTTTGTGGATGAAGTATTGAACTTGTACTTTAAATTAAATTTTCGCTGGAATAACTGCGATTGTTTCTCTAAAATTCCAGCTAATCGTCAGTAAAACGCAGCCTCACACATGCAGAAGGACTCGTTATGAATCTGTGACAGGATAAACAATGCGAGGTTGTTTCAACTCTCCTGCCAGTCCAAATGGCAGGAGAGTTTTATCAAACGTGTAATGTAGAAAAGCTGCGGTTTCCAGCCTGACTGCAGAGGAATGTTTGCAGAAGGAATTCCTGCTTTTAATTCAGCGGTATGGCCAAGATAAGTGCAGTCACAAGACTCTCGTTTGAGCACTGAGTGTGTCCACTGTCTGTCCTGTGTTTATGTCCTAAATAATGGTTTTCAACCTCAAACTGGGAACCAGACCCCTCATTTACAGTTTGACAGTTTATTTAAACCTTGATAAGAATGCGATTGAGCATGCATTGGAGTTCATGTGGAGGAGAAACACGGAGCTCAGCCCACCGGACAGCCAGGCATCCTGAAGGCGTCCGGCAGAGGACTGTCCAGCTTGCAGATGATTTTATATATTCCTTTCTTCCAGCAGGGGTCGCTGTCTCTCCCAGTCCAAATGGCCGAGTAAAACTCTCTCAGCGCCACTTCTGACACCTCGATGAACCTCTCAGGAACCTGCACACAGAAAGGGACCAGTCAAAGTCTGCAACACATTCTGATAGAGGAGGCAAACCCTTCGTTCAGGAGATTATCATTATTTAAAAGCAGCAACTGAAAAGTAAACAGTATTTCTAAAAACATAAGTACACCCTCTTTCAGGGTGATAAAAAAATGATTCATTTAGATTTAGATTTGAAAAGGTTAAAAAAATAAGTAACATTCAACTTCAAAAAACACAACAGATTCCAATAATTTAGTACATAATCATTTTCAGCACTCAATTTGAAGTTAAAAACATGTTCAACAAGTTAAACAGTGTAGCTTTTCAGGTTTTTATGAGTTTTATAAAGAAAAATAACATATTTCACATTTTTTAAAAAGCAGGCACTATTTTTAATTTCACATTTTAAAAGTTATTGGTTTTAAATACCAACCGGATTCACTAAATGTCAGCTTTTTCCTGACATTTTGTTGTAAATTCAGTGGACCACTACTGCCGACTAGTGGTGAAAAAGAGACGTACATTTTGTGACAAGATAAAAACAGTTTTAACAGTTTGTGTCCTGCATTTCAAAATACCTGCTACTGTTTAATATTCACATTTTTGGTCAGAGGTTAGAGGTTTATGTATTACAGACAATTTATTTGAGATGTTTTTTTCCTGAGTAGAAGATACAACCCCCTTTTTCAAATACATTTAAAAACAAATATTTCATTTTATTGGGGATTTTTTCCAATTCAAACCAGTAAAAATTATACCTGCTGGCTCAAGTGTATATTGAAGCAAGCAATATTTAGGTAAATGCCACTTAAAAAATGTAGGGAAAAAAAGCTTCTGTCAGAATATTTACCGAGTCTTTTGAACAGAAATGTTGATGTTTCATTTAAATTGTGTGATTTTCAATGGGACTGAAGTCTAGGCCATTTTTTATGCCTTTATCAAGTCAATTAAAAGCAACAAAATGTTGTTTTTTTCTTACCCAAAAAGTTGAAAATAATTCCTACAACTAAGTAAAACAACACATTAATTGCATAACCAAGAAGATTGCAGCAGCTGGTTTCTTGTCTTTTCCTGCAAACGGCGGTGAAACCAGCTTAACCAAAGTGCTGGAACTTGCTTTGGGTTGCTAGGTAACGGGCTGGGCTTCACACTGGTTGCTAGGTAACGGGGACAGCGCCTCTTGAGATTTTTAAACGGCTCGTTTTCCAGACACCTGAAAACACGAACTTGTTGGTCAAAAATAGCTGGATCCTTTTTTTTTAATGACTTGGTCTGTTTCATTAGAAGCAGCTGAGACCCAAATGGAAGAACAAAAACAGGCGAAATGTGAATTTTGGATATGATTCGACAATAAAAGCTTGGCTTAGGCCAGTTTTGGTAGAAACTCTGACAAAATGTGCTTTTCCTAACAGATCCAAAGCACACATCCCAACCAGTTAATCTGGAACGACTAAAGTATATGTGCTTCCCTTAAAACTGGGACTGAGCCAATAAAAATCAATTTAAATGGAGTTAATTTAAAGAGTAAATCCATTGGGCTAACAAATTTATGCCAGAAACACAATGATTTATGTAATTTCTGTGCTTCATCTTTTCTTGTATACATTTATATTGATCCTTTTATTATTACTTATTCATTTGTTTATTATTATTAATTTCTTTCAATTTGTACATTTTACATTTTTAAACGTACAGTTGGATGACAATAAATCTGTCTGTGACTATAAATTGAACCTTGTGCTCCTACTTTTTGTTTAAAACGGCTGTTTCTTTTACACTCATTCCCTCCCGGTGAAAGATGGTTAAAATATCTCAGCATGACATGCATGTATGTAAGCTTCTGTACTGATGTAATATCCTGCCCTGACCTGGTAGACGTTGCTCTTGTTGTAGTGCATGTTCAGGATGCGGTACAGCTCCGTATCTCGACCCACACGCAGCTGGTTCTCTCGGCCCACACGAGCGGCGCCATCCCTGCGTTAAAAACATCCCCAGTTTAATTCGTCCGTTTTACAAACATCTGTTGACTTGAAGAAATTAGAACACAAACAATCCAAATGAGCTCAAACTGATCAAAGTTTCAAGTGACACAAATAATTTTTTCTGTTTACATACCATTAATACCATTAATCTCATACTGATTAATGGTATGAGAGTGGAAAGAGTTATAAATGCCGTATTGATCAGTTTTTATAGTTACTTCTAAACACATTTAAACTGGATTATCTTCTAATGCAGGGGTGTACAAACTTTTTTCACATGGGCTAAAATGTTCAGTCAAAAGTATTCACAAGAAAATATGAAAACAGAAAACTAAAATTAATCAAATGAAGTAGTCCAATTTTAGTTTAGTTTTTTTAGGAAAGTGATGCAAAACATAAAAATGTTTCATCTAGTTTTGAAATTATTTTGGGCTCGATTAAACAGATTTATTCTCAGTAATATAAAAACAGTTTGTGGGTCATTTTCTTTTAAAACATTTTCTATATTAAGGTAAATTTAAGAAATTATATAAAAGCTGATTTAGTTGCAGAAAAACGGATAAACATGAATCTACTTATTAAAAATGCCCTGAGTTGAAAGAGATTAATACTATGTGCTGTATTTAAAATTTTTCATTTCAAGAAAATTATGTCGGCAATAATTTTACTCTCATTACTAAAAATGTCCGCCTGTGCTGGACGGGCCTAATTTACATCAAACTGCAGTCACTGAGCCGCACTTTGCTCACCCCTAATTAAATCTATATATGGTTCCATTGCTGTCCTTTTTGCAGAGAACATAGACAATTAAATTTGCAAGAAAGATTAAAATAAATACTAGCAGGCTCTAGTGTAAATGGAGTAAATTCGGGGCTGAGTGTAACTCACCGGGTGAGAGCGTCGCGGACCGCCTGGCGTGCAAATCGCTCCATCTGGATGTAGAAAAACTCCCTGAAGTTGCTGAACCATTTAATCATCTGCGAGGTCACACAGCGGTTAAACTAGACAGCAGGAGAAAGATGCTTATTAGCTTTATTTATAGTATCACAATGTTTTTATTTCATGGGTTTTACAGACTGCAAAACTGTATCCAGCTTCAATTTATTTGAAAATGATTAATGAACCAGAGAGCAGCTATTGTTAGACTGTACAGTTTGAGTTTGGACAAACTACGGCTGCTTGATGCTTCAGGGTTAGCTGATGACACCTGTGCTGGCTGACCCTGAAGCCTAAAACTAATTAAGGTCAGAGCTTTGATCCCTCAGCAGAACATTTAGCAGCAGTCATAATCTAGAGAAACTAAACGTCTAGGTTCAGTAAATTCATTCAGTGGGGGAAAAAAATTAACAAATAGTTGGAAATTATTCTTTTTTATTTTAGGTATTGAATAAAGGTTGGAGGCTGTGCTCCTGCAGTCACCGTATGATTTTTTACCCCTCTGTTAAATATAGTTGACGAGGTCCATTTTGCTTGTGTCCAGATTTTTGTTAAGCATTGCGGAAACATGCAGGAATTGCTCTGAGATTTAATCTGCAGCACCGTCTCATCTGCAGCACCGTCTCAAAACCTTACTGATAAAACACGATCCGCATTTCCAATTTAAATAGGTGCAAAACTTTGTCGATTTTCCACTAATGTGGAAAAAAAGCAATTAAATCACATTTGAATAACCTGATCTGAATGTAAACTAGTTGATGTATCCAGAAATTCTCCTATTAAGACTCAAGCATTGAACTTTAATGCTGCATTCACTGTCCTCTGGGTTGATTGACCTTGCTGGCAATTTCTGAATATTCTGTTTTATACAGTGGATCAAACATAAATTTAGACTCTGACTCTGAACTTAAAATCTATTTACATTGTGATCTAATTGCATTTAAAAAGAATATATAAAGAAGGCCATCCATTGATTGAGACTGAAAGACTCTTAAATGATAAGGCCAGTAAATTCAGGTGGGCACATTTAAGCAAATGTGCTAATAGTGACGCTAACACACTACAATTCAACTCCGAGCAAGAGGAATATTTTAGACATTTTATCGCTGGTAAAAATGTCAGTGTTGGTCACAGCACATGCAATTTCTCAGTCATTGACCTGTCGACCTTGCTAACAAAAGTTAGCAACTGGGTAAAATAAGTGCGAAGCATTTTCTGAGTAGCCAAGGGTCCAGAGCCTCTGTACGAAGCAAAGCATAGAACCAGGGGCTGGTTTTTACAAGGACAGAGAGGTATAGGTCAATGTTGTGTCTTTTACAGGACCGATGGTAGAGCTGAGCAACAGGAGGACAGATGGATTGGAGTCTTGTCTGAAGTAAAGTAAGCACTGCTCTGGTCTGGCAGAGTTGGTTCGAGTGTGTTTTAAAATCCCTACACTGGCTCCCTGTAGCTCAGAAAATAGACATTAAAATACTGTTGTTAGTTTATAAATCACTGAACAGCTTAGAACCACAATACATTAAAGACCTGCTGCTGTTGTATTAACCTCACAGACCTCTCAGGTTTTCTGGTTCTGCTCTGAAAAAGAAAATAGCCAAAACACTGAGTTTCTTTCAATTTTGACTAGGGATCCACCTGTTTAGAGTTTCCTTTGAAACATAATTAATGAAACATTGACCAAAATATTTGATGCATATTGACGATCTTGATGACGGCATTCGCCAAATGTAATGTCTGTTACTGGTTTCCACAAATGTTGACTGTATGGTGTGCTTATGTGTTTTTATTCTTGAGTTTTTATGAAGTAAAGTACTCTGAACTGCCTTGTTGTGAAAATCAATCAAGTTTGTGCTAAACAAACAAACTTGGTTAATTGGTTAAATGGTTAATTGGTTGGTTGGTTGGTTGGTTGCTTGGTCGGTTGGTCGGTTGGTTGGTCGGTTGGTTGGTCGGTCAGTCTTCTTATACTATACTGTCTGACCCTGTCTTAAATAGCTAAGGACTATGGATGGATAGATCATTGAGGCACACTTACCTTGACATCAGGGAAGTAGGTCTTGAGTGTGTTGGAGCTGGGGTATCGTGTGTAGAAGAACATGAGCTTGGCTTTCTTCAGATGGCAGGGAGACAATCCTTCCTGAGTGTATACATGACACTTGTTAAGGACAAACATGAACAAACACAATCCTCTCTGTTATTCCTTCCGTCAAATGACAAAAAGGATATCCCGCCGGCGGTCAGGTAGAGCTCTCCTCCGTCCATTCCTCCACCTCCTCTGATGCTCCCGTCTCCTCTCACCCCCCTCTCCCTCTCTCTGACTCCAAGGCGAGTCAGCGACGGGTCCAGGTGTCCGAGGAAAGGGAGCGGAGGGAAGGTGGCGTGAGAGGAGAACTCCAGGAAGGGGTCGGAGTTCAGGTAGTCCTTCCGAGATGGAGCGAGATGCGGGAGCTGTGGGTGGTGGAGCGAGCGGGAGAAGAGCTGCTGCATGGAGTAGTGAAGTAATGGAAGAGGAAGAGGCGGAGGTGGAGGTGGCGGAGGTGGTGCAGGAAAGGAGGACGAGGAGGAAGAAGAGGACGATGAAGTGGGGTGGAAGGAGATGGAGGAGGAAGTCTCTTTGGACTGTGAAGCTGGAGGCAAGAGTGGAGGGTGTGAAAGAGGAGTGGGTCGGGTCAAAGAGGGGTGATGGAGGGGGAGGTTTGGGTGAGAGGAGTTGATGTTGGTGGAGAGCGGCGGTCCGAGGAGAGGGAAGGTCTTCCGCGTGTCAGGTGACCTGTGAATGGCCAATGGCATTGCCAGATCTGGTCCAGGAGGAACCAACTTCTTGAGCTGCTGCTCTCTGTCTCTGTCCTCCTTCTCCTTCATAGATTCCTCCACTCTTCCTCTCGTCAACAGTCCCATCCAGCCGTCCCTCTCCTTCCCTCCATCATGCGCCTGATCAGATGAGTGGAAGGAGATGGCAGCAGAAGGGGAGGAATGGTCCATCATCTCTGTGTAAAGACGAAGGACTCGGTCAATGACTCGCGCCACAGCACTGCCCAGCTCCAACTTCAGTGCCTGAGCAAACTTCTGTCCTCCCTCCTCATCCTCATCTTCAGCTCCACCATCCCAGTCTCCCTTCGTCAGACCTCTGCACTCCAGCCACAGTCTCGATCCCTCCATGATGCCCTCCATGTCTCCTCCTCTTCCTCTCTCTATACGCCTTTCTCTGTCTTTTTGCAACTCTTCTTTCTGTTTGTGGAAGTTGTCAAAATGGGAAACCGAAAGCAGGGAAAAAGATTCCTTCTCCATGTCAGCGCCATCGATGTCCTCTTCATCAAACATCTCTCCTGTGATGTCCTCCTCATCCTCCACCATCCCTTCATTTCCATCGCCATCACACCTTAGAAGCTTCCTTTTCTTCTCCTCCTTCTCTGCCTTTTCCCCAAACGCCCTCCAGACTTTCTCCTGCAGGGCCTGCAATCTCTCTCTGGCCTCCTCCAGCTGCTCCTTCAGCTCCTCCCTCTCCCGTCTCCTCCCCTCTCTCCTCTTCCCTCCATCCTCCAGCTCCTTATCCTTCTGCCGGCACTCCAGCTTCATCCTTTTCACTTTCATGACGTCTTGACTCCACTCAGCCATGAGGACGGTGTCGTTGCACTTCCTTTTCACCTCCATCATCTCGTCCTCTCCCTCCATCATCCCCTCTTCTTGCTCCATTTGAGTGGCAGTCACTTCATTCTGGTTTGCAGTCAGGATCCTCCGTGGGCCTCCGCCCGGCTGGAGGAGATGGTGGATGAGGGGGAAACCTGGGGGCCTGAAGCCAGGAGTGGTGTGGACTCCAGGGAGGTCTGCGGAGGAGAGACCAGGAGTAAATGTCCGTATCTGGGGGGAGGAGTCATCGAAAAGGTCTGTAGGTGAATCCATCACTGCAAAGAAAGACAGAAAATTTATGTTGCTAAGTTTAGCTCTGCATTTTCAACAGTTTTTGTTGTTCAAAAAATTTAAAAGTGACAAAACTGGCATTCATATCCACTACTGCAAACTTCAGTGTAAATAGTTGCAGTTTACCTGCAACTATTTTTTTCAGATAAACTGTATAAATTGATTCTTTTTTCAATAAAAGCCACTTGAGGGTCTGAAAAGTTGCTAAATATAAAGTGGTTAAGTTGGCAACAGTGCCTCTCATCCTGACCGTACTCCTGCTTGGCCACGCCCCTTTCTGCCTCTTGGCTCCACCCACTTTCTGGAACTTTCTAAATTTGTCTAAATTTGGGGCTTATGCTTTAACAAGGGGACAGGTTACACTTTAACTGTGGAGTTAGTTTTTGTTTTTTTAAGAAATGAAAATTTTAATTTATTACTATTCAACCCTCGACATCAGGGGTGTCCAATTAATTTTTGTTTTGATCCAAATCAAAATTATGAATGCTCTTAAAGGGCCGGTTGCATAAAACTACATTTGTGGTAAAAACGTGATAACGTGGAAAAATTAATAGAATATAAATATTTTTGTAAGGCGCTTTATTTGCTTGGTTTTGTCCAAAGTAATTCAGATTCCAAAAAGATGAAGAACAGAAACATTTTTATTGTACTCATAATGTCTACTAGAATTTCTCAATAAAAAATTGTAAGCATTGACACTTTTGTATAAGGATTACTCCTACAAAAACAAAATGAGAGCAGTCTTTTACATTCCCAATGTCACATTCAAATTAATTTCCTTTCCTTTCAGTGAAAGAAAATTTCTCTAATCAAAATATTTTTTAATGTGAGATTTGATGAATTAATCTATTATTTCAATGTAATGTGGTCAGAACATAAACGCTCAACTAACCTGGACAACAAAACAGGCCACTGATCGGTCAAAAGCTGCAGCCACTTGGATCTCTGTAATGATGACCTGCAAAAATTAAACAGGAAGGAAAACTTTAACCGACCAGAATCTTAAAGATGGATGGATGGACAGATGGACAGACGGACGAACGGACGGATTAAATCTCCAACAGAATCAAACATCCAACCTTGAAACTAAGTTGTTTGCCACAAACCCCAATCTCATAATCCAAGATGGCCGCTGCGAGCATAAACATAATAAAAATTGCAAATCATGAATATTATTTGTGCTTCTTTCAGGTCTGGAAGAATTAGTCACATAGTGTCAGTGAAAGCTTTGTTGTGCTGTGTGAATTCTTAACATTTTCAGAAACATCTTATTGGCTTGTAAATTGGCTTGTAATCATCGCTAATTTCGTCCTCACACTGTGACACAGGTAAGTTGGGTCTGAAGTCCTTCTGAGTTTAATTTTAACCATGTTTACCAGCTTCAAGCGTAAATATTTTACAGCTTAAGGGGGTAATGTTTTTGTAGCTTTTGTCTGCTGAAGGTTCCTTGACTATGATAGGTCTCTGAGTTATACAAAACATTGTCGTTACAATTGTGCACTAAACGTTCAGTTTGCCCCCTATGTTGAGTTGGCCCCCACTCACACATAAAAATGACTGCAAACAGATGTGCAATCATACACAATACATCTTTGAAAAGCATTAGTAGAGCTTCCTACACAACTAACAAGAGTGCAGGAAGTTGTTTCTGGTAAGTGAACAACAAAATGCTTGTCTTTTCCAGCAGCCATTGCACAGCGCATACGGCAGTAAAACCAGTTGACCAAATGTGCTGGAACTCCACTTTAGTTGGTAGGTGACAGACTGGGCTTCACTGGGGTTGCTTGGCGACAGCACAGTGCTTGTTGTGACTTAACAGTGTGGAGGTTTTTTGAAATGGCCTATTTTCTGGATACCAGAAAACAGCTTGCTGGGTTTTTTAAAGTGTGTGGGCTGTTATTGGGAGCAGCAGAAATCCACATGGAGGTATGAAAATGTGCAAAATGTGAATTTTGCAAAATAGGTTTTTAAATATTTGACGTATTGCACTCAAATCTCAGTTTTAAACTTTGGAATAAATATGAAATATATTAATTGGGTTTTGTGGCACAGGAGGCCTTTATTGACAGTCATAAGGAAGAGAGAAAAGTTTCAGAGTCAAGAATCAAATCCAGAATGGCTGCGCTGCGAACTGTCGCATCTGTAAACATGGACGCCTGCTCTATCTCTACAACACAAAATATTTATTGTTAAGCACCAGATTTCTGTCAGGCTGAATAGAAGGGACCAAAATCAGATGTAGGGCAGAGAGAACGAGGTTCACAGCCTGTGGGGTCAGGCTATGTGCTGGTAGGACACTGGGTAACATCTGGCTCATGATCTCTGCCTCGCTTCATCCTCTGGGTTTCGTTCTATACTTCCTGTTGTGCTTGAACCCGTACTCCACAACCTAACAAAACCTGGAAATAACAACATCATCTGTGTTTGTTTTTTTTCATATGTCCCAAATAATAAACATCATTTTATTCTCACCTGCCTTTGCACGACAGAGCATTTCAAACACAAAGAGCCTCATCTCTGTTTTTTACTAACCTAACCTCCCTCCCACTTTTCCCCCCCTTTTCCTTCCTCTGCCATCCTCTCTTTTCCTCCCCCTCAGTGTGTTATCTGTTTGAGCAGGTTGTTAAGCTCTGTTTGATCAGAGTGTTTATCGTCACACACACTTTCACCATCAAAAAAATGGGAAAGAGGCTTGAGAGAGGGCTAACAATGGTCAACTGTCCTTGTAGAGTGAAATGGAGTGAGAGTAGTGTGAACAGCAACACCCGTAATCCACTTCAGACAGATAGACAGATAGATAGATAGATAGATAGATAGATAGATAGATAGATAGATAGATAGATAGATAGATAGATAGATAGATAGATAGATAGATAGATAGATAGATAGAGAGATAGATAGATAGATAGATAGATAGATAGATAGATAGATAGATAGATAGATAGATAGATAGATAGATAGATAGATAGATAGATAGATAGATAGATAGATCGCCCTGGTGCAACATGAACAGAATAATCCTCCTATAAATAGCTAAATATCAATTATTCAAATGCCCTCTCCTCTCCGCTATAATACAGCCCAGATGGCAGGCCGACCAATGCGCTTATATCAGGGACAGATTAGCCTTTCAAAGCCAGCAGAAAGCTGCACAAAATATGAGCCCTGAGCTACAAATATGAGCGCTATTAACCACCAGATTAGGTTTAAGAATATGGCAGAGCTGGAGCGGAAAAACCTGGCAGCACAGTGATTAATGTGCCTAAACCGGGGATGTTAATAGACCTAATGCATGTTGGGAAGTCTTCCTGTCTGCAAATTTTAAAGTAATTATCAAATCGACTGGAGCCGTCAGTTTTGCAGTGCAAAAACTGGCTAGAATAAAACAAACTTAGGGAATATCTAGGAGATTTTATAGACAAAAAAGTACATTTTGATTGTTGCACTAAACTACAAATGGAGATATGTTTATTTCAATGAATATTATTGTAAATTTTAATGTAAAACAAAACAGAATTTCTGGTAAAAGTTCACTTGTTTTAAATAGTAAAAATAAACTTTCATTACAACTAAAACTAAACATTGTTCATATAAAAATAATTTCTAAAAAAATTCAGATAGTAAATATAGGCACCGTATTGAGAGAAATGCATGTTTTTAATTTGAAAATAAATAAATAAAAAACTGGAGTGTGGGTATTAGCATTCACTGTGAAAATTATAGAATTATATATGTATATATTAAGTTACTAATTGTATATGATTCATGTATGCAATAGGCTATACATAAGCTCTGACTAAATATACATTATTTTTTATAACTCAAAGTAAAAAAAATCTTCATATTTACACATTAAATAAAAAAATTAAAAATAATTTCAGCTTTTGTTATAAAACTGTTATTTTCAAACATAACAGCTTATGTTTAAAAATTATTTCTGCTTACAAACAGTAAAATGTAACATTTTCATGATTTCAAAATTAAATTCAAAACATTCACGTTGCAAATAAACATAGGTTATATTAAATATTTTAACACAAACACTTTTTACTGTCATTGGCTCAAAATATTTAAACTTTAATACAGAATATAAAAGTGGTAAATGTTATTTGGTTGTTTTTAAATTAAAAACAACAAAAATTATCTATCTATCTATCTATCTATCTATCTATCTATCTATCTATCTATCTATCTATCTATCTATCTATCTATCTATCTATCTATCTATCTATCTATCTATCTATCTATCTATCTATCTATCTATCTATCTATCTATCTATCTATCTATCTATCTATCTATCTATCTATCTATCTATCTATCGTTTGAAGCTGTTTGAAGCCTCGGGGCGCGTGGCAACATCTGCCGGCTCTGTCACGCGACAGGAATCAGCTTTGGCCGTTCTCGCGCACCGAGCGGTCAGTTTGTTTCTGCGCTCGCGCCTGCGTCCTGTGACTAATTGGCAGCTGTGCGGACTAATGTCGCATTAAGAAAATAAACACGAAGGAACGAGGAGCGAGCGAGCGGCGGTTCAGAAGCTGAAGTTTCACATTCAGAAGAAATAACTCACGGAGAGGAGCTCCAGCTGTGTCCGCTCCGCGACGTTTTTTCCACTCCACCGTCCGCCTCTGACTGTCTCCAGAACCGACACTGACCTGGACCGGGACCCGTGAGAGAGCGCTGCGTCACCGTTTTATTCTCACTCGCCCAGCAGCTCTTATGGGTTTATTCTAGTTGCGTAGAGGTTTTGTTTTTGTTGTTCCTCCCTCGTCAGTCCATGTATGTTCGCCTGGCTGGCTTCAGCCCTGACGCGCTGCTCCCGGTGTGGAGTGGAGTGGAGTGGAGCGCAGTGGGCGGGCAGGCGGGCTACAGAGCTGTCCACTTGACGGTCCGATCCCTCCCATGTTGGCATGACCCCCACTATGAGCTCATACACATCACACGGAAACTACAAACAACTCCTTAACTTATCAGCTCCCTCTGCCCATCAATAACAGCAGCTGCTGCCTCACTCATCAAGGCAAGAGACTTCATGAGAAGACTCAGCGCTTTAATGTGCAACACTGTTAGAGACGTTGTTTGGAAAAAATAAATACAAAAAATAAAAAAAAGTTTCAAAGATAAACCATTCTCAGATTTCCAATTTTTTTTTTATGTGTAAGATTAATCTAAAAATCTCAGACATTTTGTGAAAACATAGAAATTTATGAGTTTGAAAAGTAGAAAATTTGCTAGAAAAAAAAAATCTGAAATTTTGAGATTGATCTCAGAAAGTTTCCAGAAAATTAAACATGAAAATCTCCACATTTGAAAAGTCAAAAATATAGAATATCAACTTTATTGTCGTTGCACTGTCACATGTACAAGCAACGAAATGTAGTTTGCATCTATCCAGAAGTGCTATACAGGATATAAATATTTATAAACAGTTGTACAAGATATAAACAGAGAATAATGACGTGCTATAAATGTTTTGTACAATATAAAGATAAATATCAGAGCTATGTACATATTATACAAATTACCAGGATTGTACAGAATATACAGGAATATGAAAAATGGATTGTGTATATATATTAGTTGTCTTATAATACAGGATAAATAATGGCAATTTAGATTTACAGATTATATAAAGATTATATACAGATTGTGTATGTGAGGGAAACAGTCCGGGGACGGGGTACAGTCCTTGTAGTTTGTGTCAGGAGGCGTTCAGGAGCGAGACAGCTGTGGGGAAGAAGCTGTTCTGAGAAAAATCTGAAATTTTCTCAATATAAATGAAATTTCTGAGTTTCAAAAGTCAAGAATTCTCTATTTTTCTAAATTTTCAACCTGAAAATGTCCTGGTTTAGAAGTAGCTAGTACATTGTAAACTTTTGCACTTCTGCAACCTCCAGTGAAATTCTGAGATCAATTTAAAAGTTTTTCCTTTCTTGAAAATTTTCAACTTTTCTAGCTCAGAAAATTTTATACCAGTTTATTTCTGAGCTCGAAAATTCAAAAACTAGCGAAAAAGCTTGAATAGCCCTTGAAAAGTTGATGAATCTCAAAATTTTTATTTCTTCTTGTTAATATTCAGACTTTTGGAATATTAGCAAGAAAATAACAAATTCTAGAAAATTTCTGAGGCTAAACTCAAAATTTCTGAGCTTTTCAGTGGAAATGTTAAACTTTTGAAGCTCAGAAATGTCTCTGTTTTTTCTAGAAAATTAATCTCAAAATTTAAGGGGTTTTTTGTGCATTTTTTCCCATGTACACTGCCCCTGTGCCATATAGATACTCACCTCAGAAAGTCATCCATTAACAGCTTTATCTCGCTGCAGGAATCTCTTCGGAGCTCCAGCCCTGAAACAAAGAGCCACTGTCCCGCTTCGCGGCTTGTTGCTGCTGCCTGAAGCGAACCTTTGGAAAGTTGTGCTTTTTGCAGCTCTGAGCAGATTAAAAACAAAACACGGCCGAGTTAAGCGGCTACTTAAGCTAGCACCTAGCTAGCATCATGAAAATGTATTCATATATATTTACGAAGTCACGTTGAAAAATACAAACTAAATTCCTTTACACATGAAAAAAATATTTCTATGTAATTTTTATTGCTGGTACATAAATGAATGTGTTTGGGTGTCTGGGAAAATGAGTCTTTTCAAACATCTCCGGGATGTAGCGTCACAAATAAGCTAGCCCAGTCCGTTACCTAGCAACCCCAGTTAAGCGCACACGTGCTGGAACTCAGGCTGGGTTGCTAGGTAACCCAGGTTGAGTTTGGCTTGTTTTACAGCAGGAAAGGTCACGTGCTTTTATTATGAAGGGTCAGAACACACTTCCTGCTTTACAGTTAGGGGGCGTGGCCAGCAGCAGCTTATTTGGATTTAAAGTGACAGAAGCTCTAAAATGACTCATTCTGATAGAAACTCAAATGAATGATCTTGGAGCAAAAAATGCATAAATATGTTTCTATAGCCTGTATTACTACACTAACCCGTTCAAAAAAACATAATAGGTCAAATTTAAGTATTAGCTTGTTATTAATGTGAAGGATTAAAATTTTTGGAAAAACAAACAAACAAACAAAAAAACTTAATAGTTTGGTGCTTTCACAGGATTCCCAGAGGAAGGCAGCAGCCAGGTGCAGGTGCGAACTCCTCTATAAAAGCAGGAGTCGTTTCGGTTTGCAGGTTGGCGGCCAACAGGTGCATGTGAAAACCTTGCCAAGGCTGAAGGACATCAGCCATGACCTCAGTGAAACAATTGTGGCCACTCATCAATCTGAGAAGAGTTACAAAGGCCAAACGATGCAAACTGAAATCCATCATTCTGCAGTGGGAATCACAGATGCAAGAAGTAAAAAGACTGGATTACAAGGTTATGTCTAAAACAAATAAAATGCATCATTACAATGAGAAATAGATCATCTATAAGAAGAAAACTTACACTAGACAATTTTTCTAAAAACCTGCAGTCAGAGGTGGGAATAGCACCCAAAACCTGTATTCAAACTAAGAATAGCAACATATTTTACTCACGTAAAAGTAAAAACTGTTTGGTAAAAAGTCTACTCAAATACCGAGTAACTCATCAAATTAAAGTAAAATCTAAAAAGTACATAATTAGATGGACCAAAATGTTTTGTATTTTAAGAACAGATTTTATCATAATTCATATAAGTAACGAAATCAGGGTAAATAAAATGTTTCCAAATCATTTTCCTTTCGTTAAAAAACTTATGACACTTTAACAAAAGTCTGTGTCTGGGGAATTTCTGGTTAAAACATTTTTCATTTTACTCAAGCAAGACTGAAAGGTATTTGGTAAAATGTCTAGATACCGAGTACTGATCAAATTATCATTTAATATTTAAAATTAAATAATCAGAATATAAACTGAGGTGGAAATTTGAAGGTTTTAGAGACAAAAATTCTAATAATTTATATAAATAACAAAAAAATAAACAAAATAAGAAAAAAATATTTCCAAATGAGTTTCTTTCAATATAAAACTTGTGAAACTTTAACAAAAACTGCCGGTGTGTGTCTGTCTCTGGTGAATTTTTGGTTGAAATAGTTTTGTTTTGCTGTATTTGTATTTTGTTTTTGTTTTGTTTTTCATTCAGTGGGCAGAAAATCCTCTGAATAAAATGTTCCTCAAGTAAGAGTAGAGACACTTCATAATTAAATTATTCAAGCAAAAGTCAAAAGTAGAGCACAGTAAAAAAATACTCCTAAAAGTACATTCTTTCAAAAACGTAAATGCAGCTGAGTAAACGTAACGAGTTGCAAAGCTAGAAAACTCAAAACCAAACTCTTCTGGTTCCAGACTGAGCCAAGGCCGCTTTCCGTTCCTCGTTTCAGTCGCTCTCTCTCGTTTGTTTTTCTCAGCAGTTTCAGCATCACCTGAGTAATGTTACCCTTTTCAAATCCACCCCCTCTCTCTCCCTCCCTCTCTACTTCTGATTAAAAATGGTTATGCACCGAGTGAAAGGTCGCAAGTTGTTATGGAAACAAGGCAGCCAACAAAAGCTGGACACATGGGCACCGAAAGTGGGGAGAGGGGAGAAAAACAGAGAGGGAGATGTGCCTGAATAAATATGCAAAGAGGAGGAGACGGGCATGGAAAAGAGAGAGGGAGAGAGAGCAAGAGGTTTGAATAAATAAAATCATATGCAGAGGGAGGAGGATGGATGTGAAATGATGGCTCCATCTGCGATAATGAACAACAAAAGATAATGCCGGGTTTTATCATTCTGGGAAGCCGGTCGGGGAACAAAGGTGCGTGTCCGTGTGGACAGTGGGAGAATGCGACGGATAATAACCTCATCGCAGCTTGGAGGATGCAAAAAATAAAAAAATTTTTTAAAAAAAGCTCAAATTGTTCACAGAAAGGCTGACCAAAAAAAAAAAGGCCTAAAATTATGTATCTGTGTGTGTTTGAGTGCCTGAGCATCATCATCATCACGTCTCTCTGAGGACTCGTATTATGTTAACCACTCAGACTAACATCAAACACACACACACACATTTCAGTGGAGGCATGGAGGTGCCAGCCATATAAATAGGATATCCCACAGAGAGAGATATAAAGAGAAAGGGGCTGACAGGCAGAGGGAGTGAAAGAGACAGGCGGAGAAACAAGATTTTATATTCATGCAGTGAGAAAATAGAGAGTAAAGTGGACACAAAGGGAGGGGCTGGACGGATCAATAAATGGCATAAAGTGTATGTTTATTGATTTACTAATATGGAAGGGAAAAAGGGAGCGAGACAAACAGCAGGAAGAGACGACAGTTCTGATGATTACTGCTAGAGTTTCTCAACCTTTTTTGGGCCAGCGCCGCCGTATCCATTATCCAGGCTCCATCAAAGACTGAAGGCCACTTTGCAGGGAATGTTATTTTATTCCTGATATCACCATCACTATTGTTGATGTTTTGATTTTTATGGTTGTCTCTGAATTTAGCAGCAAAAATAATCTCCCAGAGAACAAACTGTCATTTTTACAAGCGAAAAATGCAATGAATGCAAGTTAAAATCGGAGGGCCTGTCAGCAGCCGGAGTGGAAATAAACATTCTCGTTCTGAGCCATTTTCTGATGTTAAATGTTGCACAAAATGACCAGATAAAGGCCAGTTCAAACTTTGAACTATTTGCATAAAGACTGATATATTGTTGCAGTGTGATTAACTGCAGCAATATGAATCACAACTCTTCTTCTCTTCAGTCAGTTAATGTCAGTTTCTGATGGTGCAGCTCTGTGCTGCCTTCAGGAGAATGGGACATCAGAGTATCATCCATAAAATTTGAGTCAGATTGAAAGTGTCCTGGAGTCACTGAACAGCCTCAAGACATAAACACTGACATAAAAAATAATATTGAAGAAATAAATATGCCAAATCTCTTGTAATTATAAACATAAATAATCAATAAGCTCCTTATTACTGTTGTTGTCTGTAAAATATAGTTATTCTGAGAAATAGATATGTTCTCAACAAATTCAACAATATTATCTTACCTTTTATCAGAGTCTGTTCTTGCCATACAGTCCTAATTATCGCTCGAAAGGTCTTCCCATACCACTATATTCCTCTATCTTTACTTTAGTTAATTAGTTTATTCTTACATTTTGTTCTTCATTCGTTTTCATTCAGTTTTCTTGGATTAGTATTGTCCTCTCTTGGTTTATTATGTGCTCTTGAGTTTCTTTCCTGTCTCTAGTTTTGTTTTTTATCGTTTGTATTGACCACCAGTGATCTTCATCATGCTGCTGCTGCGCCACTTAATCATCATCAGTTTCATCAGATCTTCACTATAAGCTCTTGATTTTTCACTGTCTGACGCCGGATTTTCTGATTCTGATTCACATCTGGTTTATCGATCCGTTTTATGTCCTGATTCTCCTGTTCCAACGCGAGCGTCGGTTTTTGTTGATTTGTTGGGGTTTTTATCTCCGACTGTGCAGATCGGTCGGGAAGCATATCGATGGAGAAAAGCAGACTGACAGAAACCTTTTAAAAACACCGGAATCAATACCGGTGTTCTCATGATTAATGATGTAGTATTACTGATTCATATCGGATCACTTTCAGCACTGAACGATACAATGGCATTATATACTATGAGATAGTATCTCATTACAATGATATTATAATGATAATAATGATATTATAATATGAGTATAATCAGACAGTATCTCATTATACGTTATATCATTATAACGCTATAACATGTTATAATGTTATCAGTCCGGGTAATGATACCAGGACTGAGAAAGTATCATTATAATGAGATAGTATCTCATTATAATATCATAATGATAATATTATAATAAATGAGGTAGTATATCATTATAATGATAATAATATTATAATATCAGTATAATGAAATTATAATGAGATAGAGATAGATACTATCTCATTATACTGATATTATAATGAGCTAGTATCTCATTATAATATCATAATGATAATATTATAATAAATGAGGTAGCATATCATTATAATGATAATAATATTATAATATCAGTATGATGAGATTATAATGAGATTATACTGATATTATAATGAGTTAGAATCTCATTATAATATCATTATGATAATATTATAATAAATGAGGTAGTATATCATTATAATGATAATAATATTATAATATCAGTATAATGAGATTATAATGAGTTAGGATCTCATTATAATATAATTATAATGACATTATAATGAGACAGTATCTCATTATAATCTCATTATAATGTTATAGGTACTATAACATTATATTTTAATCTCATTATAATGACAGCGTAATGAGATAAAAATATAATGTTATAATGAGGTTATTATTGTCCCATTGTGAGATAATTATAATGACCAAACCTCTAAACATGAACAATTATTAAAAGACCTAACTACTAACTAAGTTTAACATTAACAATTATTAAAAGACCTAACTACTAACTAAGTTTAACATTAACAATTATAAAAAGACCTAACTACTAACTAAGTTTAACATTAACAATTATTAAAAGACCTAACTACTAACTAAGTTTAACATTAACAATTATAAAAAGACCTACTAACTAAGTTTAACATTAACAATTATAAAAAGACCTAACTACTAAGTTTAACACTAACAATTATAAAAAGACCTACTAAGTTTAACATTAACAATTATAAAAAGACCTAACTACTGAACATTAACAATTATAAAAAGACCTAACTACTAAGTTTAACATGAACTAACTACTAAGTTTAACATTAACAATTATAAAAAGACCTAACTACTAAGTTTAACACTAACAATTATAAAAAGACCTAACTACTAACTATAAAAAACCCTAACTACTAACTAAGTTTAACATGAACTAACTACTAAGTTAAAAAGAGCTAACTATTCTAATTTTTCCTAAATTTTTGGCTGGTCAAAGAGGCTGTAATTCACTCCGATCCACATTTAAAACCCCTGCTGGCTTTTTCTCTGAAGGCTTTTTGTTGCTTACTTAAAAGCCTTTTTAATCAAAATCAGCGGATTCCACTGAATAGTCTGAAGATGGTTCCTGATAGATGAGATGATATTTTTCCCAAATATTGGCGTCTCGGACTCGAGGAGGAGCAGGATGTTGTCGGCCTGCCTGTTCTCCTTCAGCAGGTCTCTGAAAATGGCCTCGCCTCGCCGTTCGATGCATTCTGGGCTCATTCTGAGGATTCTGGGTTCTGTTTCAATCCAGAGTTTTTCACAGGGACGATCAACAACGGCTTTAAGGTTTTCTGTGGGGTAACAACTCTGTCCCGATTTCTCGGTGATCCTCTGGATCAGATCGCTGACGAGGCCATTTTTCAGATTTTTGTCTCCTCACTGATGGCCTCTGATCCACTTTCTGCACCTAAAAATTGTCAATTAATCTGATCTGTGGAACAAAGTTTTGTGTCTCTGCCACAGAACCTTCTGGAAACATCTTCCTGTCCTCAACATGGACGCTCTGCGTTGGCGTCTCTTGTTGTGGACAGGTCTGTGGGGCGTTCAGTGGAGTCACCTTTGCTGAATGTTTCAGTGCAAATTTCCTGAAGAAGCTCTTGATGTTCCCCATCATAACTTTGAGCTTTGATTTTGGCTCAGCAGTCGTCTTCTCAGTCTCTTTTGCTCTGTCTTCAGGCTCTTCAGGCTCTTCAGGCTCTTTAGGCTCTTTAGGCTCTTCAGGCTCTTCAGGCTCTTCAGGCTCTTTAGGCTCTTTAGGCTCTTTAGGCTCTTCAGGCTCTTCAGGCTCTTTAGGCCCTTCAGGCTCTTCAGGCTGAACTGGGTTGTTGACAGTTCCTGTCTCAGGTTCCTCATTGGGTGGATGCAGTCTATCCATGAGGTCCTTAATGATTGACATCGATTCCTCAACCATATACCTGACTACGGCTTTCAGAGGTCCCTGGTCGGCATGATTCCTTGGAGGATCATCTGAGTCGGAGTCCAGGCTGTGATAGATTTGATGTAACAGATATTTCACGATTAGCCGGTTTAAATACTCCGCGTGGTCAGAGCGGTATTCTCCACCGACGCCCATAATTTCAACAAAGGTCTCTGGCACTTTGTTCCCCACGGCCGCCTCCAAGGACTCGATAGTAAATAGTTGTTTGTGGAGATTTCTCAGAACGTTGGATGTAAATATTTCTAAGATCTCTCCACAAATGTCCCCCAGAGTGCAGCTGGTGCTGGGTGCTGGGTTCCCAGCCTCCAGCCTCAGCCACTCCTCTGGGGTCATGTTGATGAAGAGGCGGTCGACCACGGCCTCCAGGGCTTCCACGGTTACAGTCTCTACAGGTGCAGAACTGCTGGCCATGATTCCTCTGTTGGTGAGTTCAGCTGCTAAAATACTGGAACAGGAGATCTGAGCTTTACCACGAACAAGTGCAAAGTGACGATGGAGATCAAGAATGAGCAACTATAGAGCCTGCTATGACGTCAGTCCACACGTCATAAGCATCAAAGCTCCCCCGAACTACAGTCTTATGTCTTGACGTAACAAGTCACGTTGCATCAGCAGCGTCTCTACTGCGCATGTCTCCTCCAGACTATCTATTTCTATGTACAGTTGGGCTGCGGCGTCTGCAGCCATCAGGTTTCCTTTCAGCGCCTGGTTTGTGCAGCTCACACTGCTTCCGGTTCAACCCGCTGCTGGTTCATTTCTCACGGTTTATAGTTTGTCTTCATGGATGCAGCTGCATCTTCAGTTTCCTCTGGTTGGGACCAAAATAGGAAGAAACTATTTGTCCTTTTCCCGTAACTATGAACTGCGGTTTATTGATTTCGATGAAACATAAACTGTAGGAAAATCCTGCTCTGGTGTCCTTATTGTTCACCAAGTTGGTCTCATTTAGAGAAACTCTGCTTCCTGAGAGCTGATGATTTTACCGTGAATAAAACCGCTTTATTATCGCTAGTTAGTAATAGCGATGTTTCACCTGCATTTAATCATTTGGGTTCATTAAGACAGAAAGAGATGCGAGTTAGAATCACTGATTTTATCAGGCTGTGATCAACAGTGAACTGACTGACGCCATGCTAATGCTAATGCTAATGCGAAACCTGTTCGTTCAGCAGCGACCCATAAACGCAAACCTGTTTGTTTTGGTCCATCACTGTTCTGAGGTTCCGGTCGGTCCATCACTGTTCTGAGGTTCCTGTCGGGTCCATCACTGTTCTGAGGTTCTGGTCGGGTCCATCACTGTTCTGAGGTTCCTGTCGGGTCCATCACTGTTCTGAGGTTCCGGTCGGGTCCATCACTGTTCTGAGGTTCCGGTCGGGTCCATCATTGTTCTGAGGTTCCGGTCGGGTCCATCACTGTTCTGAGGTTCTGGTCGGGTCCATCACTGTTCTGAGGTTCCGGTCGGGTTCTCTCAGGTCAGGAGTTCTGCTTTGTCCGGTAGTTTTGTGTTTCTCTTGAAAAGACTAGAGGAACCAACAAGCTTCTGGCTGAATATTTGTCCAATCTCATTTTTTAAATCGATCGGGTTCCTGGTACAGAAAGCAGTTTTGAACACATCTTCAATGTAACTTGGTGTCCAATTAAAACATCCAGTTATGTTCAAAGTTGATAATTTCACCCAAATCTGTGTAATGAACCAACCCCACATCATAATCATGCCACCACCATGCCTGACAGTTTCTTTTTCTTATGTTTGAAAGATTCACCTTAAAGCTGCAGTATGAAATTGTTTAAAAAATATTTTTTACATATTTGTGGAAACTGTCACTATGTTGTAATAAATAAGCCCTTTTCCCAGTGCTAACCAATCAGAGCTAGGAGGCGGGTCTTAACGCTGTCAATCACCCTCTGTGTGCCTGTCTGATTATAAAATTACAAAACCAGTTTTGATGGGAGTTCAGGACAGAAATCTGCAACCAGTGGCTTCAGAGAAAAATATTGCTCTTAAATCCCTCCATGTTGGTTCTCTGTGCAAAAATTATACTTTAATGAACATGAGATGACACTCCCACAGCTGTATTTCACAGTTCTGCTCTTCCCCTTTTTCTTCCTCATGTAACAATTGCCATTAAGGCCAAACAAATTAGTTTTAGTTTTCGAGTGTTTTCACATCCGATAGTCCACAAGACTGGGTTTGATTGGGGACCAACGTTGCAACATTTGTTACATTTTTGCTGCTATGGTTCATTTTCACTGCACTGTCAAATGAACCAAACCTTCTGAGCAACCTGTTCCCCTCCTCGCCTGTGGTGGCGCTGCACCAAGTACCACTGAAGGAAACGACATGAAAACACTTGAAGAGGTCAAGCATTCAGCTTCCTTCTTTGAGAAATATCAATTAAAATGGATTAGCGTTGGATTTTATTTTGGGAAAAGAACATGAACCATGTTCCCCACTAGCGATATCCTAGCGCATTTGTTTATGTTGCATTTACCCAGAATGCCCTGCGCTGTAGTCCACTTCCTGTTTCCAGTCCGCTTGGCCTTTGTACGCATTCAAACGGCAGCAGAGTTCACCTGACCCAAAGTGAAACAATCCCTCCATGTT